CATTGGACGCGTCGTAAGGGGTTGGGTATCCGGGTCGGTCAGGGGGCCTGTTGGTGGTGGAGATGGAGGGGCTGGCAATGGCCGAGCAGGCCGAGTTCACAGAGTGGAGGGAGGGAGGGGGAGGAGTTGGCCGGCGGGGACGTGATGTTGCCGGGTGCGGTGGGCGGAGCTTAGCGCGGCAGACGAGGACGAGACGACCCTACGGACGCCACGGACGGGGGAGATGCGACGGCAATGTCTCCTTTCAGTCAAACAAACTGATGGGGGATAGTGGAGTCGTACAACCAACAACCGACACGTCCCCCTCCCCCTTTCCCCTTTCGGTTGAATCTCCTCCCTCTATGAAACAATCGCGCTTAGCACTTTCTCTGTGGCGGTTTTGAGGGAAAGGGAGGGGTGGGCTTAAAGAGTAATAGAAAGGGGGGGGGGGTAGAAGCCGTTCCCACCCCAGCCATTCCCAATTGAAAAGCCCGAAATTATGCAACTGGCGCCTTACGCGGGCAACCCTCACGACATCGCCCTACGCGAGACAGTTCCGGACTTCCCCATGAGGAGAGCGCACTCTTCTAGCCAACTGTTCCTGGGGTAAATTGCACTCGCTCTCGACCAAATGAATTTCAAATATTGCAGTCTGGTGGATGAGGTCAAGTCCATCTCGGAACAGTGCAGCGCCCTTCTGGGGCAGCTCAAGCAGGCCGAGAACACGCTCCAAAGCCTGGTCGACACACGCGGCCACCTGGAGAAGGACATCGTAAGCAAGCGAAAGAACCTTCACCTGGACCGCGACCGCATCCAAGTGGTACTGTCAAAGAAATGCGCAAAATGGTGTGTTGGTGTGTCGCATTTACAACCAATCATACAATAATAATCGTTTGTTTTTTTTCTAGATTCGACAGCATTACCCTCCGGCAGCTGCTCTCACTGGCTTACATTGAATATCACTGCCGAGAAGCTTGTTTTGTGAGGAAATCACAATAAAGCGAAAAGTGGAGAACATCCTAATTTGCAGTTATATTTAAAACTTTTGACAAAAAAGGGCAGAAACGGTGCATTCTTTTACGCCCCCCCCCCTTCTTCCTCGCAGGGAGTGTGCCGCGAGACCACGCAGCGTCGAGACATACATTTATCTGAACCGGCGCGCCACCTCCACCACGACATCCTTAATCTTTCGATAATCAACAGTGTTCGACTCGAGTGGAGTGATACAGACCCTGTCGGTCCACCCTCTAAATCCACCCACATTTTTTTTGGAAATTGAAATTGAACCTTCTTGTCTTGTTTTTCTTTTTTTTTAAAGTAACCTGGTGGTGACATTAGTGGGTGTAACTGCGCCCATTTGCGAATTGTCTTCGTTAGTCATGCGTGCTATTCGTATTTCCCGCGCTATCCCGTGACTGCGTGACTGCGCTGCCCCACACTGTTGCCAACATGACGACGCCTCACGATCTTGCCAAATTACCACACTTATGAAGCACAGAGCACCACATTTGTCTTGTAAAAAAACCAAGATACGTATAATTTTCTATTTTGATAGTAGGTTACATCGTGGCATCGGTGAATATTGGAGTATATAATATGTTGGCTAAATCACTGGCTGCTGAAGGTTCGGCGTTCCACGTCACACTCCACTAGGAGGAAGAAAAACAAAACTACCTTCAAGCCGTTCTCTCCCTCTTCCATTTCCCACACGTTTCGACCGAGAGCGAAAATGCCGTCGGTAAGTGCCACGCTTCAATTTTAATTTTATGGTTTTAAAGTGATGCAGTTCTACCTATCTAGTCCCGTCAAATCTCACGAACTCGCGTTGTCTGCTGAGTCTTGAAAGTAGTTGTTATTCGTGTCTCGGCAAATCTTTCCTCTACCCGGTACACATCCCGGTACCTTGCCAGCAAACATGGTTAGGAGCCCTTGCCGTTCAATTATTATTTCTACTATATTTCCCCGTCAAAGTTGTTTCATACTAACATCTGCGAATACAATGTAATCTAGTGCCCTTTGTGAGATTTCTTATGAGTCTCATCTTTTACTGATGTTTCGGATATTGATGGATGTAAATACGGGTCCCCGACTGTTGATCGGGACGTATCTTGGTGTCTATTGTACTCCGAGACAATTGTGTACTGTATTGTCCTATAAATTGCATTATTACAGTTTCTGAAGCTTCGGGTGTTCACATATTCAAATAACTCTTTGTTTACGAACTTTGTTGCATACACCGTTTGAGGTTATGATCTCCTATGCCTATGTTGATACCTTCAATCAATGGCACAAAACCTATAACTACTACTCCATGCAAGTCCTCCATTTCTTGGTTTTTGACTGGATGTTGATTTAGTTGAACTGCTTCGTCATATTTTCATCTATTTTGTCAAGCATTTTTCATCATGTGTTCCGTACACATACTGTGTAATGGTGCTCTGTGGCATTGCTCTAACCGTATTGTTCAATGTTTGATTCTATCAGGCAACCAAGAAGGAGGCCCCCAAAAAGACGGCCACGGCCGGAAAGGGCACAGCCGCTGCTGGCAAGGCACCGGCTGCAGCGGCAGGCAAGAAGGCTGCTGACTCGAAAAAGCCCGCTGCGCCCGCCAAGGCCCCAGCAGCTAAGGCCCCTGCAGCCAAGGCAGCTGAGCCCAAGAAGGCTCCAGCTGCTGCACCCGCCAAGGCTGCTGCCCCAAAGCCCGCTGCTGCTGCCCCAGCTAAGCCTGCCGCTGGTGGAGCCGTGAAGAAGGCTGCTGCCACAGTGAAGAAACCGGCACAGCCTAAAAAAGTTCCCGGTGGCGTTAAGAAGCCGGTTCCTAAGAAAATGGTTCTGAAAGGTAAAGGGCAGAAGAAAAAGAAGGTGTCCCTAAAGTTCACCCTCGATTGCACCAACCCCGTTGAAGACAACATCATGGATGTTGCCAACTTCGTAAGTGTTAACCTGTCAGCTGTCTCGCAATTTTGGGCGGTAGTTGTGTCATTTAATTCAATTTGTGGCCTTTACAGGAAAAGTACCTTCAGGAGAGGATCAAGATCAATGGGAAGCTTAACAACTTTGGCAATTCTTTGAACCTTGAGAGGCAAAAAATGAAGATCTGTGTGAGCTCAGAGATCCCATTCTCAAAAAGGTAAACTAAGTTCTTTATATCATTGAGTAGTTGTCATCCCGACATCCTCTAATTTTTGTTATTCCCTAGGTACCTGAAGTACCTTACCAAGAGGTATCTTAAGAAGAACAACTTGAGAGATTGGCTCCGAGTTGTGGCCACAGCTAAGGACACTTACGAATTGAGATACTTCCAGGTAAGCTGTCAAAGTACTAGATTTATGGTCGTATTCGGCACTTATTACACCTATACTTTTTTATGCATCTAATATTGCATTGTAAAATTGAACCTTCTGGTTGGTGTGGCTTTGAGCTACTCCTTCCAGAAATAGCTGTGGAGCTGCTTGATTTTTGTGCAGTTAATTCCTTTGGCTGGGTTCAGAAAGCATATTGACTTCTACTTAGTGAGTCAGAGTGAGGCATATTCCATAACCGCTTGGGTGCTGCAAAGCCACAACTCAGGAGGCAAACCATGTCTTGTAAAGATCTTCCTTAGCATAAGTTTACTTTACATCCTGTGCATATGGGAACTCATTTGTCAGTGAGCTTAATTAATTTCTTGGGGTTGGGCCATGATGCTGCTTATGCTTATGTCTTAATACCCTGAATGAATTTCATTTGAATGAAATGAAGACATTTCTCATTTCTAAAGATTTAAATCTTTCTACAAACCTACAGTTGTAAAGTCCACGTGGTTTCAAGATATTAACTGATCCGGAGAAGGTCAATTATGTTGTGCTATCTTTAAATTGCATCCGTAAGGGGTCCTTAGCTTATCCTTACCTACTTAGATGATTGTCATCTTTGAAAATTGAACTGCATTTTAATTTTTAAATCTTAAGTTCTGTTTTAATAGTGAACTAGTCTGTCTGACTAGCTTAACAGTTCACTGTCAAGTGGTTGGCATATCAGGGGAATCAAGGAATTGCCAGGACTTTCATTTTGTCAGGGAAATGTCAGATCTTGACCTGAAATGACGGTTTAACTTTCTATAAATTCATCTGCCCTCTTTTCACATCTTGAGTCGTTTTAATACTCCCTTATTTGTATAATCTGGAAACTAACCTGCCGGGAATTTTACAGTTGGGTTCGTAGCAACCCTAGTGAGGATGTTCTGTTTTTGTGTTGCTGGCAAATTTTATGTTTTCGTAGTCCTTTTTATTGAGAAATTTGAAGCTAGGTCAGAAATTTGACTTGAGTACCAAGTAATTTATTAAAATACAGATGCTTTAACTGTCATAAATTTTTTTTTGAAAGAGAAGGTTGCCTTGTTAATTTTACCCTATTGTAATTTATTTTGCAAGGGTTTATGCAAACAATACTCATAAGTTTGCATTTCATTACTGAGCATGCGCTGCCGTGAACTTTGATGGACCTGAGCATTAACTATAGATATTTAGTATCCAGGACATAAAAGAGATTCTTGTTTTAAACCCCGCGTGGAATTCTTGTCAAATACCTTTTAAAAATCTTAATTTTCCATTACCTTGACATGGTTGTGTTGTGTTGTGTTGTGTAAGCGTTTCTTCAGTCTATCTAGGTAGTTTTGTGAATACTTGTGAATTGTCAAGATCACTTAGTACTTGAGTTAATGGTAGTAAAGTTGGGAGCCAGTTAGGGTAAGATGCCCAATGATAGACACCTTAAGAGATGCATCTGCCCAGTGATGGACACTCCATTTTCTTGGAATGTTAAGAACGGAGCAAGGTAGTTTGGCGTATTATACCCCGATAGGGGTCTTACTAGAACATTAGTTTCGTGCCAAGATCGTAAAGTGAAAAGTTTGGTTGCAAATCGAGAAGTGTCCAACACTGGTAGAGTACATCACTGTGCACCTTACCCTATACTTGGAATATGTAAATCCCCAGAGCCTAGTTATTGCAAATTCATTGCGTTCAGATCTTATTTCCAATCTAGTTTTTTGAGCATTCGAAGTTTGTACTGACAAAACATTTTCTTTTTCTGTTGCAGATTAACAGCCAGGAAGATGATGATGATGAGGATAATGATTAAGTGTATATGCCTTTAGTGTGTGGTCCAATTTGTTATTTTTCAATAAATTATGCCACTCACCAATTGTCTAGGGTTCTTTCCCTTTCCTACTCCCTCACTAACTGCCTTACTTTTATCCATTGCTTAATTGCACTATCATGAAGATCTCCTGAGGTTCAGGAAAATTTCAGCCTTTTTTCCGGTTTTACAAACGCATGACTTTTTAGCATTCATTTTCTCATTTAATAACAAGAGGTCTCTAAAACCTCATACCAGTAATGTGATACAAGCAAGCTGTCTTGTCCTGCACAGGCATGTTATACAAAAGTTTCACTTCTGTTAGTTTCATACTAATTTTTTGTGACATTTATTTGCCTGTTGAAGAAATATGCCCCTTACTAAATATTAAAGGCAAAACGTTATTTGTAAACTAAGATATCCACTACACACAGTACTGTGAGCAGTCTTGCTCTCCTTCTCCCACAGTTTTGAAGAATTAGGGTTTCTTTTATCACTTACAGTACTGACCCTTTTAGGGGAGAAGAAAATCCTGAAAAACTCGAGTTCTGTACACGGGCTAGTGCTAGTGGCCCTAACCAGGGCGTGCCGGATGTTTCGTAGCCTTTGCCCCCCAGTGTTGCGGGATTGCATACTCGCAAGAGCCGCAGCACGATACATTACGTGCCAAGTGTGAGCAGGCAAAGCTGCAACTCAACTCGAGCGCATGCAAGCAGGAAACACCCTATTGATGGTGGCATATTGGCTACCATGCGTCGTCGAATCGTGAGTAGAGGCCTTTGAGCAACAGGCGTCGTGGGCACTTTGCCGACTTCACATTGTTGACCTGCATTTTCGGCACGTTCACGTGTTCAGTTACGCCGTGCTCCATAACTCCAGCGGTGTTATTGATCCAACTGCTTGAAATTTGCTTTCTTCGGATGGAAGTTTTTCGTTTCTGGAATGGCCGAAATAGCGTCTGCCAACAAAAAAGGATTTCAAGGTAAAGTTCTAGCTGGTGCAAGCGGTCGAATCGGTTAGACCCTTGGGTTAGACGGTTAGACAAGGGGCTGTCCGCCGGTCTTGTAAATGAAAATCGTGATAACTGTTCGTAAAAATTATTGCATTACTGACTGCGGCGGGATCGGTGAGCGCTGTCTAATGGGTTGCCTATACTCCGGCGTTAGTCACAACATTGGCGCTTCACTGACTTAACTGTGTATTCCGCACTTAGTAGTCTGTTTATAAAAATTTGCAATGACGACAGCAGACTTGGAGCAGCAGTTAGACCTTGCCGAGGTGCGGTGCGGCACTCTCAGAGGCCAGCTGGCGCACATGAAGACGCTGTACTCCACGGGCAGTGACGCATTCCAGCCTAGGGTGAGTGTTTGACGGCCGGGAGGGAAGGGGACGCTATACGGCCCTACAGGTTGCCTTGTCGCAGCGACCCTTCTGGGACTCGGGGGAGGCCAAGGAGCCGCGCGCGGCCAGCGACCAGGATAATGCCCACGTCGGCCACCACGCTTGTCCCCCGGCCCCGGGCCGAGCCCCGGCCGCCGTCGCGCCGTGGCCGCTGGCCGGCCCGCCCCCAGCCCTGGTCCGGCCGCTGCCCACCTTCAGCTTCAACCCGCCGCCGCCGCCGCCTCCTACGTTCCTCTCCAAGCCCATGACATGCCTCGCCTCCAACCCCATCGCGGACATCCTGCGTGGGCCTGCGGGGAAGCCTGCCGAGGCCTCTGGCCACTCGCCTCCCTCGGCCGGGCAGCGGGTGGCGGGCGGCAGCCTCGAGCTGCCCCAGCGCTTTCCCGACGGCCCGCGGGTCCGGGAGAGCCCCTGGGGCCTGCTGGACGGCAGTCGTGAAGACAGTCGCGTGTCGGGGGCGGCGGTGGCGACCCGCCCGATGAGCCCGTGGCCCGCGCCCCAGGCAGGGCCGGGCGACTCCCTGGCGCCCAACTACACGCTCACGTCGCTGCTGCGACAACGGCCCTCGCTTTCCAAGCGGCCTCCCCTGGGCGGGCACTTTGCGTACCCGTCGAACACCTTCCCGGAGCTAGGCGTGGAGCAGGCGGCGCGCTCCACACAGACCCAGGGCCTCCCCCAAGGCCTCGCCCAAGGGCTTGTCCAAGGCGCAGCCCGGCGCGAGCCCGAGTGCCCCGTCCTGGCGGCCAGCCCACCGGTCCAGGACTTGAGCGCGCGCCTGGCGAGCTCCTTCCTGCGCGTCGCGTGCCTTGCGGAGGCAGAGGCGGCCACGCAGACGGAGGCGGACGAGGGCTTCGGCGAGGACGCGTCGCCGGTGGCCCAACCAGATGGATCGGCCTCGGCGGCGAGCGTCGCTGGCAGCGAGCGCAGCCCTTGGCACGGGCCGCGGCAAACAGCTGACGGGGCACAGCAGGGATGGCCGCGCTCCCCGCCGCGCTCCCCACCGCCCTGCCCGCCCTCGGGGGCAGACGCGCCCCGGCCCATCCAGCCCGCCGACGATGACGGCGCGCTGTCGTGCCGCTCCTCGCTGGAGGCCGGTCCTTCGGCTGACCTCTTGACCGGAGTGGGGTCGGGGCGCCGCCCGCAACCCCAGGTGGCCTCCGTGCGACCTCTTTCCCCCTGCCCGTTGCCATCCTCGTCCCCGGAACCTGTCCCTGAGTTCCCCGACGATCGTGTGGCGGCGTCCTCGGCATCCTCGGCATCCTCGGCGGTCGTGGACGAGCAGGTGAGCGCCGGTGGGTAGGCTGCCCCGCCGCGCGCCCGCGCGCTGCCCGCCGCCGGCTGCCTACCACCCGGGCGGTTCCGCTGCAGCTACACCGCCCGCTCTAGACTGCTAGCTTCAGCTGCAGCTGCACCGCCCGCTCTAGACTGCTCGCTTCAGCTGCAGCTGCGCCTCCCGCCTGCTCTAGCCGGCCCATGCGGCTGACGCAGCGCGCTTCATTAGCACATGCATGGGCCCACCCGTGCCTATCTGTTTATTCCTTTTCGTAAACACATTGAGGCAGTGACCGACTAGTTTGTCTGTTTTGGTCTTTCTGTGTGCTACCTTTTTTTTTGCGGCGAGCGCGAGAGCGACACATGAGGCGGGTAGATAACGTCGGGTCAACGAATGCAACTTTCCCTCCTGCTCCGACGCCCATGCCCCCCTCGGTTCCTGTTGAGCCGCCGGCCGCCGGCGTGCTGACGACGCCTGAAACCTCTCTCTGATGTCCCACTCGCAGCAGGAGCCGTGGCGCCAGGTCCTGGGGCTGGTGCACGACCTTGCGGAGGACGTGCGGCGGATGGCGAGTGGGCACTCCGCGGCCCCCAGCGCGCTGCGGTCCAGGAGCGCGTCCGAGGAGCCTGTGCAGCAGGAGCAGCAGGGCCTCGAGGAGCAGGGCCAGGCCCGCGAGCCTGACAGCGCCAGGAGCCGCAGCGAGGTGGGCTCCCTCCCCCCTACCACCCCCCACCCGGGTCGAGACCACAACCCCTGCGACGGGTGTGCAATGTGTGGTGGGTGCGGGTATCTCATTTGGTCTACTTTAAATCAAGAACCCCGTTGGACGATATAATCGGCCTGAAAAGCCACAAGGTCGTGTATGGGCCTAAAATTAGACGTGGCCGACGGCCGACTCAGTGATGTACCGTACTGTATTCGGTGTGTACTGTTG